AGACGCTTTGATGAAATAAAAGCGGTTACCTACATTATTATCGGTGCATATATGCCCAATGCTACTCTAATCAACCGGTTGTATACAACCATAGTGCAACTATTTGAACGAGGACCTTACTCGTAAATGCTTCAAAAAAGCCTGAATGCATGTCTTTCAAGCATGCTTGCGACTGATAATGACCTCGCCCAATTCAGCTGCTGATCGTGGCAAGTAGTCCGGAGCGAACATACCGACACCTTAATTCAGTAACTCAAAGGTCTTTGGAACCAATAAGCATTTGTCAGTGAACTTATTTTATTCCGCTCTGTTGCATGTAATGACGACAAGAGCGGAAAGATTATTTGCCTGTATTTTGTGAGTTATGCACTAGTGGGTCACTTATCTGAAGCTGTTTTGGGCGTGTAACATAGCGAGGTTATACGAACCACGGTTACAGAAATAATAAATCTGTCCTCCTCCACAAGGTGATGCTTTATGACGGTGTAAAGTAAGCGAGGTTTAACTGCACCCCATTACTTCTAACTTTTGAGTAGTCAGATGAACATATGAAAAAACAGCTTACATTCAACAACTGTGAATGGATAACCTGCAGTTCCTCCTAGTTCAGTATTTATTGCCTCTTCCCGTTTTTATACCTAACAGGAAAATTCTGAACAGTCCAGACAAACGACACTTCAATTGAATGAATTGCGCAATGAACTTGAAAGAAAAGAAGCTCAGGTCGGTCATTTTTTATTGTAAATGTTTATGAAACATTGACTTGTTACATAAACGGAAGTTTATCCTGCCTGAGCGTTGCTCCGTTTTATTTGTCTAAAATACAAAAGCCGTACATACCTGTGGACCATAAAATTACCCCCTTTCGTTCTCTCCCTTTCCCCTCAAAAATTTAATAAACACATAAAATGTATTGTATCTCATCAGCAATCACCAGTTATTTCACATCAATCCAGTTGAAAATTGTTGGCTGATGGGGGAATCAAAGTAAGAAGGGCGAGCAGAGGCACATTTATGACGAGCGTAACTAGTGACACATTACCTAATAATATTGACTATTTTCACATTTTTCTACAGCTACTTGATCGATCCCAATCGATTTGTGAACCTAATGCTCGTTCTGATCGAAACGCCCCGTGTTGTATTGTATTATCATGGCTTGTAATGACACCATCAACAACAGCAACAGGAGGATATCTATGGTCATTTTCGGGCACAAATCTCATGAATACCACACTTTGGTGATCACTGTAGTATCATTTGAGGTGCCGTTCATGATAAACTCCCTGAAATTGGGTCAAGGAATCACAAACTGGAGAACGAAAGTGTGTAAATCTTTAATCCGATGTACACACTCTATTGTTTAAGGTGACGTTCTATCTTCAAACGTATTGATCGCAATATAAATTTATCAAAAAACAGACCTTGTTATTCTACAATGAAGGGGCAGTGCTGATAAATATTTTCGCCGTCTCAGAAACCATGTTTTCCAATCCACATGTGCAATCGATAACTGTTTACTACAGGATGTTGACGCCGCTCCGCATGCAACACAATCAGTTTTGTGTATTCACACCAAAATCTCATATACAAACGCATTGAGTTGGTAAGAGAGACAAAGACAGACTCGAGAATGTTGTTATCAGTATTTGATATCTGATGACTGTTATGCTGATTTTTGGTATGACATGGAAAATCGGTAAAAAGACTGTAATAGAATGTAAAAATAGCAGTTAATTCGAGGAATTTTATTCCTGGTTTTGCTCATTAAAAACACACATGAAGTTTTAAATTTTTTATCTTTAACTTTTTTGCATCAGTCAAGTTTTTGTGATCAATTGTGAGAAGTTTGAAGATTACTATTGGTTAACCTTTTCTGGCGGGTGCATTTTTATTGATCCTAGATGTATGTTTATGAACCTGAGTGTGAGTACTGTATTGTTTTGGTTGACAGCATGCAAAGCAACGTGTCTTTACTTTCTTCTGAATTGTAAAAATAAAAAATCGTGATTTGATGTTTACTTAGAGAAGTGTTCATGAAACAGAAAATTTTTCGGCCGAAACTTTACGCTGAAGCATTATGAACCAGATGGATAGCAATTACTGTCTCAATGAGCTGATTAGGGATCAAGCAAGCGGATAGTTCCACAATTCGTGTATTCGAACCCTATCATCGCTGGCTTAATTCTTCCTTGACGGAATTTGACTGGCTGCAACCTACATCATCAATTCAATTGCTATCCCACATTACTTTCTGGAAATGAATTTTACCATCTGATTCCTACTCGGGAATCATACTTGACTATATGCACATTTCTTCACAAAACGAACATATTTCTTTCACTCTGATACCTCCAGATCATGTGTTTGAACAAAGAGATCGAGCGCATGCACACCTCGTCTGCTCTGCGTGACCGATTGCCAGATTCGACCAGCCAGCAGCTCTTGTTGGCTGACTTGCAAGTTCGTTTACGACAAGTGACCGAGGAACGGGATCAGGCGAAAGACCAGTTGGCCGCAGCCGTATCTCACACCGAGTCAACTTATCTGGAGACGCAACAGCAGTTACTGTTGGAAAAGGTTTGTTCGCTGTCCTGTCTAACTCGCACCCCTTATACATGTGGTACGTGAATCTGAACTCGCAAAATGTATGTTTTGTAATTCATTTTACAGCAAACATTGCAGCAACAAGTCACCAACCTGACACAGACCGCACACAACGCCACGTCCGAGGCTGATCGGTATCAGCGGGAGGCGCGTCAGGCCAGTTCGCGGATACAGCAACTCAGCCGCCAGTTACAAGAAACGCAAAGCAACTGTGATGCTATCGCTCGCCAACGGGACAGTTTACGTGATCAGTTAGATCAGGTAAGGTTTCCGTCCGTCTGTCCGTCTGTCCTGCTCTGTGGTTTAAGCGAAGCTTATTAATGAAACCTATGAGGTGGAAAATCTGGGTGACACCTAATCGTTGTACCATCCAGTTCATCTGTGCAAAAGCTTTTCCTAAATAATCTCAGTTGGAATCTTCGGAACTGTACCAGATCTGCTTAAGCTTTTGCTTTTCATAGACTTTTATTCGATTGGAAAAACAAATCCAGACACTTTGGAGCTTAATTCAGCTTGTGTACCCATTTATCAGTTATTGAATACCCAGCCCTCCGGGGGCATTAGTCGATTCCTTGACTTGATTTGTTTCTGTGCAATTAGATATATTGGCCACACGAGAACATTTTTTATTAGACCGAGCTCGATAACACTACCTGGCTTGACTGAGTGATCAGGTTTATCGTTTCACACCTAGTGGAGTCATACCATTTGATTAATGCGGCCGAGGCATTGCACCCGTCTATTTAGTTCACAGCCGTCGATCTAAAGGATGTAGGAGTCTCATTTTTGCCACAGCGAAAGCGATGGGAATACGACCAATTCCAAGTCAAAAAAAAATGAACGAAAACTATCAGAACCTTGCTGATTATATCAATCCAAGGGGCTCTAAACGTTACCTTTAATAATCTTTATATCGAAACATTCTTTTCAAAAACTCGGTGTGGGAAATAGTTTACCAGACCCTTATTCTTCTACAGTCCTTGGTCTTCCTTTGTGAACTCTGTGTTTAAGATCATCCCAAATGAAAAAATCTCAGGAACTCAGATTTGAAGATTGACGTGGCCAGTTCACAGACCCATTTCTACCAATCCAACGTTCTATAAAGGCATCGTTTAACAGTGAAATAGAGAGAAAATTTACACTTATAGAACAGTGAATGGGTCAGTTTTGGCCCACAATTTTGACATGATCTCTGTTTAGTGAAAAAAATGATGACAAAATTCAGGATACAATAATTTCTCAGCTATTTTCATGAAGTTGACTGGGAAATGCGTTCTATTTAATGACGGCAAATTCCTTATGCAGATTTAATATGTTAATTTCTTTCGCTTTACTTCGTTTGAACGAATTTATAATGATATAAAGTTCAGGACGGCGGAACGCAGCCACCCATCCCATGCAACACATGATGACTAAAGTTAACAATGGTGGTAGGATTCGAAAAAAGTCCCCCCCCCTGAGGTGATAATTTGATGACACCACCAATCGGCCACCACCGCTTCTCCGCTCAAAAGCTCTGGAAGGATTGTACAACTATTTTATTTCTGCCAGTAATGATGTGGAATACCTCTCAACCTAAACCACTGGGATTTGAAGTTAGGAATAAAGGTCGTGGATCCGATTCACTGATAGCTTTAGTCTTCCGCACTAACCAATCTCGGACTATTTGGATAAGTTCATCAACCTCAAAATAACGACAAGTGAGGGGTATATCACAAATTTTTCGTATGCAGTCAGCTACTGACGGCTAGGACAGATAGTTTAGCGATTTTACTCGGTGTTGAATATCAGTCAATGGCAGAACACGTTCCGTTTATTCTCATTATATTTACGGCACCAGACTCATCAGCGGTGCTGTCCCTATTGTCGGTTGAGTGTTAAAGCAAATGTATTTCACCGTCCCCAAGCTCCGTGTTCTCGGTGACCTGAATTCATAGGTTCCATGAAACAGTTCCTAATCACTGTGGGACTGCCATTTGGGAGGGCGTATAATACCACCGACACGATGCTAGCTTCAAACGGGTTACGGACTCGAACCTGTAAGCTAGATGACCACATTGTACTGATGACCTGCTTCATGCATCGGCGAATCGCATTGTGCCATTAATGGAAAAGGACCACATGGTGAATACTCTCTCAAATCCTTCATTCACCCACCCACCCCTTTCCTTCACCGTGCCCCTGCAGCTCAGACGCACTTCCGGTCGTCCAGGCAGTTCGGCTCTCAGTTCGGTGGCTAACCTGTTCGGAACCGGAGGCGGTTCCTCTTACGGCGGTCGACCAGCCTCAGCAGGCCCGGGTAGTTATGAAAACTTGGGCGGGTACGGGACCACAGGATCAACCAGCCAACTATCTCGTGAATTAGACCGATTGCATCGGGAGCATGAAGCGACACAACAACAGCTACGCTCGGCCCAAGAAGCAGAAGAATCATCACGAAATGAAATCGATCGTTTGAATAAAGAATTACAACAAATGAAACAAGAGGTAGAACAACAAAAGACAAAACTGAACGAATTGGAACAGCAAAAACATAGTCTGGAATCGGAAATGGTACGTCAAGTCGTCTTCTATAATACCGATAACGCTTGCGGTATACCAGTAGCATCCTTTTATCACAGTTATTTACCTCATTACATGTGCCTGTCAGAAACTGAGTATCAGTACTGCACTGGAATATGAGAGAAATTGAGAATATAAAAAGATTTGTTTCAACAGTGAATGACTAAAATGTCATGAGATTGATTGTGTGCGAATCTCTACTATTACTGAAGACGAAATGAACATTGCATGGCAATCCACGTTTCTAACTGAGTTTTAATTTTTCTGGATCAAATCGATGTGAATGAATGTGAAATCCATTACTTCTTTATACTTAATATTAGTTTAATATATACAGTAAGCGCAAAGAATGGTGTGATCCTTTGAGGGTGGTTGATTGATAAATGGTAAAGTAAAACGACCCTAGGGGCTTGAACTCACCAACTACGGGAAAATTAACTGATAATCAAAAACACTAGAACAACACCGCCTCGGTTGTCTAATTCGTGCTCAAATTGAGAACCCG